GTTTTTTCGACGCGGGATTCGTGCATTGCCTAAAAGATGGGAGAAAATAATGGCCAGTGATGGACAATATTTTGAATCATAACTTTATCTCTATTTTTTTACAATAAAACTTCAAATTTAAAAAAAACGGCGAGAGCAAAGTTGTACACCTAATATTATGTTTGATGCGGTGTGTCATTATGATTTAGAAATTTCTTGAAGTGCAATCTTACTGGAAACAAAGCGAAAATATTCACTCAATGCGTCAGAGCAAGGAATTCACTCTATAGGAATGAAAAGTCACGCAAATCTGAATGAAACGACAGGCACTCTATATTTCGAGTGAAACTCCACTCCGCGAAGAAATTCAAAGATTTTTCTTTCACGTTCAACAACAACATACTTTAATATCTGTCGATGCATGTGCACAAGATATGCGATTCTTTTACAGTAGGTCTCGTCTGAATCAGATTTAGTATTTTTCTCAGCGTTATCGTGAATGGTAAATAAACATTCGAAGCGAGATCTGTAAGCAATTCGTACGACGTCGATTTCACGATTATTTCACGATTATTTCTGGTCGAGTATATCATTAAAATATATTTTATAACAATGTGTTTCCCCGTGTAACGGAATTGCTTTCTTACCCGAGTATAGTGAACATGCAGCAAACGTGTTCAATGTAGGTAACGAATATGCAGTCGTGTGCGACTATAGCGGTCATAAATATTCCGCAAGAGACAATAGCATATCCGTAAATATAAATCAAATATTGTCTAGTGTCCACAAAATAGTATGCTGGTATTGGTAGTAACACAGGGCGAGATTCATTGAGCGGCATTAGAACATCGAGTATAGGGGATACAAGGCTTGCTGACGTAAACCCATACACCCCTAAGAAGCAATATGCTGCAAAGAACAAATATTTTACGAGCAAAAGAAACGCAGAGCAACGCATACATGAGCGGAACAGAGTTCTCATTCTCCGTGCTCACCTGAATAAATCGCAGAGAAACGTTTACAAAACAAAGCATGCGACTTGAATATTTCGATCTCCTCGGGTGTTTCCAATTCTTCCCAGTCGACGAACAAGCGTTCGATAAGACGTTTAATCTGACGAAGCAATTGTTACTAACACGAATTGTTACTAATGCGAAGAGCATACTTATAAATGGGAGTAAAATTGTGTCAGAAATTAATGAAATGATGCGTGCAGCTTATAGAAATAGAGCACCAACGTGACCCAATATATTTCGCTGTGTGCAAACGGTTTTATGATAGGCAAGATGATGATTAGAGCAACATTAAAAGTGGTAAAAAAGAGAAGAAGGAAGGAGGAATATTGAAGGCTATGGAGGAGTAAAGTTATTTTCTCGTGAGCTTAATTTTTTATTAACCTACTCCTAAAACTTTGTAAATGCACCGTGTATGTCCAAGAGGAATCCAAAATAAGAATATTAAACAACATACCTTAGAACTATTTATTGGGAATGTATATAACGCCACTATGTTTACGATCGTGAACAAAAACGTTGGCACGCATGTGAGGATACATTGTATATTTCTTTCGCACCTAATTTGGTACGCGATCTACAACGTTCAATTAATGTTTCGCGATAAGTCAATCTCGGCGATTATATCGTTGATTTACCTGCGGAACGAATATGGCTACTGCGGTTATTGACATCAGACCAATACGAAGATATCTCGTTCTCGGCTTCAGGTACGGCCACATACCGGTGAATAGCGATAACTTTTCGACTAAACCGTAATGACGACTCCAGATGACGTCCATAGTCGTCGGAGAAATTCTACTGCTGCAACACTGCGCGGTCGACTAATTTCTGAATCCCCTTCTTCAAATGCAAGGAATGAATAAATAATGGACGGTAGGCCATACATGAATAAATAGGAACAATTGTTAACACCGAGTTTTTCAAATCGATCGTGTTGCAATTACGCGTATCGCATCTCATGAAAAGCAATGGGGAGATGAATGAAGACCTGTTGATTCCAGCCGAGTTCTATCAATAATAAAGTAGATGATCCTCGTGCAATACTTCCTTGCACGAAACATGTCAATCAAGATGTATTATAAATTAGCGAGTACTTTCTTTTGAAAGCGACTACGAAACACTCTCTTTTCTCCGTGCGATCGGATATTGGAGGAACAAAATGCAGCTTGCGAATAATGAAGGGTCGTCAATTATATCCGTGGCACGAGTAGCAGTGTTGTGCAGTTTTATGTGGCTTTCACAAACAAGGTATAACACGAAGAGGAAAGGAACCCCATTGATTGGTATACCGTCAGTATACCAGCTGATATACGTTTAACAAGTTTCAAGAAGGGAAGAAAATTGATCGAAAAGTAATAATGCATTTATACAAGAAAGAAAAAGTGCTAATTTTAAGTGAATAATTACTCCAGTACTCCTTAGTAAATTTTCTATAATGAATATATACCCTGAGATTTGTACTTTATTTATTTACAGTTTTATAACGCATATTCCAAATTCTGAATATGTGATTTTACGATAATGCTCTGCGAGGGAATTTTCACAATTATTATTTATTCAAACGGCTCAGAATGGTCAGTGGTTAAAATTGAACTCTAGACGAGAGGCACATTTTATATTAAAGTAGAAACTGCCGTCGAAGGCGA